GCCAGAGAGAGGCTGGACTCCTCCTCCAGCCATCCCGGCACTGGGGGCTCCAGCCTGTCTCAGCCCGGAGATTGTCCTGTCCCCTGGCCAGATTGGGCTGCAGGGCCTCTGCACAGCGTGGGAGCATGGCTGACCAACTGGCTGCAGCCCTGGGACAGGCTCTCCACCCGCTCCCTGTTCCTGGGCACAGTGACAACTCTCTCTGCTTGGGTGGCCACCATTTCCCAGCTGAGGAGCTTGGGGTGCCCAGGGAGGGGATCGGGGATTCAGGGCCCCCACGGCAGTGGAAGGCCCACACGGCCAGGGAGGACAGCCTGACTGCTGGACAGGTGCCCAAGTGCTGGCTGAAGAGACAGCTGAGACCACCTGGTGGAGGACAGTGGGGTGGGCCAGGGGCCTGTGAGCCCTGCTCTCCACACCTCCAAGTGTCCCATCAGCAGGGGCGCCATGGAGGGAGAGATGCATCTGGAGAAGCCGCCAAATGCCATTGCCGATAGCACATCTCCAGGACCGTCCGGAGGTGTCTGTGCTGCTCACGAGCGGCCCCCTGCGGCCAGCGACCCTGAGCCGTGCAGTGCACCCAGCTCAGGGCCCTGCTTCTCATGCCCCGGCTCCCGGGGACTCCCGCTGGGTGCCAGCTGCCACAGGTGACTGTGGGTGTGCGGACAGCCCTGGGTGGCCCTTTGCGCACCCCGGACCTGCTACCCTCGGGCCTTGGTCGTGAGTGTGGCGGCCCTGCCCAGTCCTGACCAACTCAGCCCTCCCTGAGACCTCGCTAGTTGCTGCAGAGATGCAGAGACAGAGACACAGAGAGACCAGGAGGCACAAGACGTGGCTGTAGCCACGGCAGGACGTGCACACACATAGGGGCACAGCCCCCTCCTCCGCAGCTGGTTCACACCCCTTTGGGGATGCCGTCCCCAGAGCCTTCTGCCGTCTAGCTTAAGCAGACCCTACCTGTCCACAGGGTCAGAGCTCAGTGCAGGGCAGAGGCGGGGGACTCAGGTGGGCAGGGACTCAGCAGGGTGGGAAACTGCCTTACCTTGGCCCTGCCCCGGAAGCCCACAGGGTCCAGCTGTTCCACCTGCTGCTGGCGGGCAAAAGACTTCGCCCAGGGGCACCTGGCATGGCTGCAGGGAGGCCTGTTTCTGGAGGATGAGCCACTGAGGATGAGGACCCTGGAGACCCCAGGCCCATGGCTGCAGGAGCCCTCGGACCTGGGAGCAGCAGGGTCCCCAGAAAGGGTCACACTGCCCTTCCCCGAGCCTTTCCACCTCTTGCGGATCGTCTCCAGGGCCCACACTGACCCAGGCCAGCAGTCCCCACCTGTGCACAGTCCAGGGCAGTGGTCAGGTCCTCTGGCCACTTAGAGATGGCCTCGTCAAGGTTATTGCTGGCCTCAGTCCATGGTCCCAGTCCTTCTGTGCCATGGCCACATTGTACAACACCTAGGAACAGGCCCAAGTGAGAGCTGGGGACGCCTTCCCCTGGCCCCTCTCCCACACGGGCCTCCCAGCCCAGCAGCTGAGCCTCCTCGGTGTGCAGCTGACAGGGCTGGGCAGGTGGGGCGGGCCACTTTTGGCCCAGCCCTGGGTGCATTTCCGGGGTTTTTGTTCTGCTGAAGACCAAGGCTGATCTCTCAAGCCCTGCCCCTGGCCTTATGGCAGGAGTCAGGGGACGCTTGGACCCCCCCCAAGGGGAGAGGACGCCTTCATAGCAGGCTGGACCGTCAGGCTGCCCAACGGCCCAGCACCTGGCCTCCACACTCACCCCTGGGCCCTGCAGGGGTACCTGGCCCTTCCCACAGCCCTTTGTCCCCGTGGGCTGCCAGGGACACCTGGACTGCTACAACCTGCTGGCCATCCTCTGGACCCCGCCCGAGACAAGGCCGACAGTGGCCTTCGGCCCTGCAACCCCACCACCCCTGGAGCGCATGATCCAAACGGAGGTGAGGGCCCTCCCAGCACTTCAAGCCAAGGGTGGGGACATCCCCTGCCCCCTTCTGGTGGAACTGCTCCTGGTGGGTGGGGAAGTGGCGCTCCCTGCCCCAGTAGCCCCTCACAGCCAGACCACTGAGCCAGCCATGCCCTCACCTCCCGGGTTTGCAGCCTGGACCACAGACCCAGCTGTGCATGGTCCATGACGGTGTTGTCCCTCCGCAGTGCCAGGGCCAGCCGGAAGTCACAGGGCTTCCTGGAACCTGCAGGCAACACGGAAGGGCTGAGCTGGCCAAGGATGGCTTGGGGTGCCCGGCCCTGTCCCAGCCTTCTCC